GTATAAATTATAAAAAGGTAAAATGTGTGAATTTAAAAAAAAATCTTCAAAGTTGCTTTAGAACTTTTCAATTATTTACTTTTCAATTCTTTCACAAATTTTTTTTTTAATTGAGAAATTAATATTTTAGAATTTTTTGTTAATTTTTATTATAAATATTATTTTTATATTTATTTATTTAATATTTATAAATATTATTTTTTATTATAAAAAATTAGTTTTTTTATTAATTAAATGAAAATAAATAAATTTTACATATTTTTCAAATTACTCTACATTTTTAAAAAACTTAAAAAAAAAATTACTGTTGTAGAACCAATCGGTTACCGTGTTTTATCCGGTTTAAAATTTACAAAAAGTAAATTTTTTTTTTATTTTTTATATACAATATGAAATTGATATTATTATTCTTTTTCATGCAATTTTATGCCAAATGAAAAAATCTTATGTGTATGATTTATCAATTTATCATGAAACGTAATTTTTAGTTATTCATTCATGGAGTATTAAAATTATTTGAGAACTTTGGAAATATTAAAATAATCAATGAAATATTTATAAATCTGACAACATTTTAATTAGTTACAAATAAAAGACATCACCATGGAACAATCACATGTTTCGCACTGTCGAAACTAGTATTAAAAGTCTTCGATCGATGGCGCATGGCCGCAGAACTGTTCCTTTCTAGATACTTGACTTTGAAGTGTTAAGTTCCGAAAAGAGTAGAATTTTGGTACTCTATTAATGAGTTGGAGTACACGGAAAGAACAATAACTCACTGAACATACTCATAAAGTATACTCCGTGGTATTCATAGTGAAAAAAATTTCAAACTATAGTCAATATCTTTTAAAGTATACTGCATGAGTTTTTAACTGTACTCCGTGAAGTTTCCTATTTAACCGAGTATACTTTAAAGGATATTGCCCGTGTAGAAAAAAATCGTCTTAAAATTGTCGTTCGTTTAAGATCTTAAACGTGACACAAACTAAGACTATTTTAATGCTCTTTTAAGACGCCAAAATAAAAATTCCGAGAGCAGATTTTTGAAAATTTTGTTCTCGAATTTGTTGTGAAAATTAATTTTTAGATGATTTTACAACTTTCTAACCGCAATATTTTTGAGTAAGATGTTTTTAAATTGAATTTAAAATTGTTAAAAAATTATTATCTGACAATTTTAAGACTTTTTTAAGACATTCCGTTTTAATGTTCCGGGGCTCTGTCGCTGTTAACCCATCTTAAAATAGTCTAAATTTTTTGTTAAGATTTTTTTAAGACTAATTTAAGATAATTTTGAGACAATTTAAAGACACTCCATAATAATTTTCCGGAGCTGCCACTGTGATGTTATCTGAAAATAGCCTAAAAAGTTTTTAATATTTTTTTTTTCAGATTTCTTTAAGACTATTTTAAGATTTTTCAAGACTATATAAAAATTATTTTAAAGCTTAAATCTTAAAATAGTCTTGAAAAAATCTTAAAATAGTCTTAAAAAAATCAAAATAATTATTAAAAAATCTCGGAATTTTTTTTTTTTTGGCATCTTAAAAGAATCGTAAAATAGTCTTAGTTTGTGTCACGTGATTAAGATCTTAAACGAACGACAATTTTAAGACAATTTTAAGACGATTTTTTTTTACACGGGTGACTATAGTTTGAAATTTTTTTTACTATGCATATCACCCAGTGAGTTGTTGTTCTTTCCGTGTAGGTAGTATGTACAGCAACAAAGCACTGAGCAGAAGTAATAATTAATGTATGGTTTTGCAACAACGAAATTTTTTTTTTTTAATTTTATTGAAAATTTCAATATTTTTTTCTTTCTTTGTAAACAACTAAGTGCGTACATAATGTTTAAATTTAATTTTTAGATTTAAGGTTGTTAAATGCAATTAGTGTTAATTCATAAATATTTAAAATAGTTAATGATAAAAATAAACATTAAAGATATGAATTTATAATTATTTAGACTGTATTTTCATTTTATTCAAACCATGAATTATTTATGCTTATAATTTAGTCAAATATTTGAAAAACGGTTGAGCTTAAAGCCCATTCCTAAAACTTTCCGCTAATTTCGATGTTTTCGAGCACTTTTAGCAAATTTTTACATATTTTATTTGAGAGAGAGATTGATTGATTGATTGATTAATAATTTATTCATGCCAAGGCACAAGCCAAATGGCAATATTCAATTATAATGAATACATAATTTTTTACATATTTTATATTAATATTGCAAGTACATAAACTAAAAATTTATTCTAATATTTTGAGAAACGTGTATAAATTATATTGCCGAATTTTTCTTTTTAGTTACCATGATGTTGCTGTCAACGTGTCATATAGTAAAATGCTGAGTTCTATGAGAACATCTCGTAAAAAAAGAGTATTCCCGGACTTTCATTCATACTCAGAATTCCGTGACCTTTTATATTCAGAAGATTGGCAACAACTACGGTGGTATGATGGTACTTCAACGGTCGAAGTCACTGTCCACAATTCAGGTGAAGAAAACGAATCTTTAGTATATTCCTCGACAATGGAAACATGCAGTATTTGGCGGCTTCGGATACCTTATATATCACGACAAATTCAAACTTTGCAATAGATACTTTGCCTGCTGAAGAACTACTAGTAGTAACTTCAATTTTAGAAAAAAAGGTAAGTCATTTGCATAATTTTTATCAGCGTATTTAATTTCTAGTTAGTTAGTGTATTATTTACGTTAAATTAACTATTTTTTTCTTCACTAGGCTTTTTTATGCTTCTTCGCATTAATAAAAACGAAAGACAATAACTGTTACCGGGAAATAATAAATCAGTTAGTTACTATTTTACCAACGCCAACAAGAATATTTGGTAATTTCAATGCTGAACTGCATCATCATCTGGAGACCGTATATCCTAATGCTGAAATAAAAGGAAGCTTTTACAGCTATTGCAATGTAAGTTTAATAAAAATTATTGTCTTGCTTCAAGTAATGTCTACCAGGTTAAGGCGGTTCTTGTGTTTACTCCGCCTCAACTGGGCGTATACCACGGTGTTCCATAGGATTTATTCAATAAATTAAATATCAATATTTTACTTCAAATTGTTTTCAATCAAAAAAGTTGACTAGTCATCTGGTCTATAAATTTTTTTTGAACATTTATTCTGTTACTCTGAAGTGTTACTCTGTAACTCTGAACTCCATTAAAGTGTCATTGTCATAACATACAATTAAGTTGTATTAATGAAATAACATTCTTGTCTTTATTTTTATCTATCTAGATCTTATTTCAATCGGTGACTGATTTTGGAGTCTTCCAAAATGAAGATAACGAAATCTTTGTAAGAAAACTGATGGCTTTAGCTTTATTGCCGGACAATAAAATGAACATAGTTTACACAGCCATTAAAAGTGCAATCCCTGATAACCAGAAAAATATTTATCAAAATTTTTTACTCAATTTTGAAGAGAAGTGGTTGCGAAATGTTGGCCCCCACCGAATTTCATGTTTCAAAAATATGCTTCAACTCAGTACCGTCCCTAGAGCTACTGCTAATGTTTTGATGAATTCCAAAATAAACAATCAACCGGTCTGGACTATGTTGGGTATGATTTTAGTTAACTTTATTTTGACTTTCTGCTAATATTATTTATCTAAGTACTTGATCAATATTAAATTACCGTTACAGAGTTTATTGGAACTATTTTCTATAAAAATGAAATTAATATTAAAAGCTTGCGTGATGGTAAAAGAGCAAGTCGTAAGACGTGTTTACAATTAGATTATCTAATTTCAAAGAATGTTATGGATCGAATTGTGAAAAATTTAAAAGGGCGACACCCGAATTACGCGGTTTTCCTGGCTAGCGCAAGCTTCCAGCTTAAGGATTCTTTCCAAACATTTCGGCATAATTACGAGAAAAGAGTTATTCAAAGTGACAATTTATTGCCGCTTATTGGTGATAATCTGCCAGATGATAATGTGAACGTGATAACTTTAACTGCGCAAGAATTATTTTTGGAAATCAATCCAGATTCAGGTAAAGTTTATATAAAACTTTTTACCTATACAAAAGATATTAATAACCGAAATTATTAACAAAAAAAATAACTTATATTATTAATTTCACAGCGCCAACTCGAAATCAGTTAAATAATGATCACGCAGCTGAACATTTGTTATTAAATGCTGAACCATTAAACAATGATTTTGATATTGGAGATCAAGATGCTGCTCACGAGGAAATTCCAGATGATCCATGGAATGCCATTGAATTACCGTTAATTGCCGAAGGTAAAAATCGATATTATTGCTAAACAAAATTTTGTGGCCAGTATATTTATAAGACAAAATGGATTTTGTCGGTAAAATTTGGTATCGTTGAAAAGAATCTTGACTTAGACTTGTGCCTTTTCATGGTGTCATATCATTTTGACCAATAGTCAATTTATAATGATAAGTATTTAAGCTGCATTCGAAAATGCTTTATATCTAAATAGATAATTAAGAAATGACCTTGTATTTTGTGAACTATTAACATTTTTAAAGATATAAGCACTTCCTGATGTTACACTCATCGAGACCTTTCATTTGAGTACTCACATCAATATATGCACAATTGATGTGAGTACTCAAATGAAAGGTCTCGATGAGTGTAACATCAGGAAGTGCTTATATCTTTAAAAACGTCAATAGTTAAAAAAGTACAGTGCAATTTAACAAAAGTCATTATTTAATAAAGCTAATTTTTATTTATTTATAGTTCACAAGTCTTCACGGCAGTCACATAATGACTGTAAGGTTGTTAGTATATCATATTATTTCCTGGCATGATTTTCTTGCACTTATTGTCTGCACTTAATGGTGTAACTGTCATCTATGTAATTAATATTAATAACCCTGTATATCCTATCATTTACTTTTATGATTTATTTTATTGAGTGAATGAATTGATAAATTTTTCGATTTTTAGATATGGTTCAAGAGATGGTGGAACCAGAAGAAACTTTTGAGGATTTTGAGATGCTTCTTGAGGAGTACGAGGAAGATTTGGATCAGTTAACAAAAAATAACGCTGCTGTACCGCAAACAAATGAGGTAGTCAGTAACAGCGTACTCAACATCGAGGCTGCTGCAGACGAGTCATTTATTCTCGAAAGTGAAGGTAATATATTATTTTACTTCCTGTCAGTATTTTCTTTTACCGATCATCTATTTATTACTTGTTTACCTAACGCCGATTTGATTTAAATACTTTATAAATATACAATTTGCATTAAGGAAGTATTTCCAAATCTCTTTTCCTACTCAGGACTTTTTTTTCTTGTACCATATTTTGTCTGATAATTTTTAGCTCTTGATTTCTTCTCAAAATTAAAGTTTGCCATTTTCTCCATTTTACATTCTTTCATTACATGCTAATTTTCTCGCCGTCAGACTTGTAAATCGTTTTTATTATCTTTATTATATTTATAATACCTATATTATATTTATAATAATGTTGTATTTTATTATTATTATTATTGTTTTAGTTCTTGGGATAATCAATCCAATTCTGATGGATGATCAGAATTGCGTAGAGTGTAAAATTAAAACGGCAGAGTGTGTTATGCTTCCATGCCTTCATTTTAATTTATGTTATTCATGTTCATCACAAAAAGTTCAGCAGCTATAAAGACAAGAAATTTCATATATTACTTGTCTATCATGTGGAGACATTGTATTCAAACCAGTATATATACAACCTTGACATTATTTAAAAAAAAAAATTATAATTTTTAACTATTTATGACAACTAAAATTTAGTATTTTTATAATTGCGTACAATTCATTTACTCATTTTTAATTTATTGCTTTTAACTATTACTAGGAACCTTACAGTCACTATGTGACTGCCGTGACTTGTAAATTATAAATAAAAAAATTTTGCTTTATTAAATAATGACTTTTCTTAAATTGCACTGTACTTTTCTTATAGAAGTTTTTCAAGATATGAGCTCATCCCGATGTTACACTCATCAAGACCTTTCATTTGAGTTCCCCCATGGATTTTGGTATAATGTTCTTCATATATAGATATATATAAAAATATAAAAAATTGAGATGGGTACTCAAATGAAAGGTCTCGATGAGTGTAACATCAGCATGAGCTTATATCTTTAAAAATGTCAATAGTTCACAAGATGCAAGGTCATTTCTTAATTAGGTATCTAAATATAAAGCATTTTCGAATGCAGCCTAAATACTTATCATTATAAATTAACTATTGATCAAAATGATATGACACCATGAAAAGGCATAACTCGAAGTCAAAACTTTTTCAACGATACCAAATTTAACCATAAGAATTTTATTTTACTCCGTAAAATAGCATAATATAAATTAAAAAATAAAGACATTTTAAATTTAAATAAATTGCGCATGCGCAACGAAAATAATTTAAGAAATGTTAATTTGTCCAGGTATTCATTACATAAATCTACGGCGTCACCAATTCTTAAGGAATGTGCGCTCAAAATGGACGCCGTTACTGCGTAGTTAGCTTAACCTCGGGTACCGAGAGACGCTCGACTGGTCGTGAGCTATGACTGGAATATTTTCTCGATATTCAGAAAATTATAATTGTTAATGAAAAATGAATTCATTAATTCCAATCAAAGGTGTTAATTATTATTAACCTGCAGAATTGATAATTTAGATACTCACGACCAAACCCTGGAGGTCTGAAACATTCCTCGGGTGTAACAATCCCCTGGAGGAATTGTTCTCAAAGCTAACAATTAAATTAATTACAACAGTTAAATTAATATTAAATAAAATATTATAAGACGAATTGAATTACCGAATTAATTTAATAAATGAGAAGTAGTATTTTCCGTGAGCCGGGTGTGACCCCCAAGGCTCAACACTACCAAAGTCCAATACCTGGCGTCAATTGGTTTGAAGGAACTCTTTGGTTGCTAATGGCTTCCTTCTTGGACTCCTCGATGTTACTTGTTTCAACACTACACCACTTCTCTCGACACTACGCGCTGCTCAGCTATTTAATAGCTCCCCGAAATACCCCCTCCTACTCTCTTTCTAGGGCCGAAGATCGATGCGCCAAAATGCTAGTCGACAAAGTTATCGATACCTGGCGACTTATCGATTAAGGGTAATTTACCCTGTTACAGGGTAAAACTTTCACCGCGCATATTAAAGACTTAAAACGTTTCCATGAGGGAAATCCCCCGGAACCTGACCATGAAAAACTTGAACGCGAACAAATTGACCGCGAAAACCCTGAACCAGATTTAGATGAAACCTTGGGACCGCGTCGTGTAACCCGAGCTATGGCCAAAAAGACAAAATTAGCCTCTGCCGCCGGAGAACCGGGTTGAAAGCGGAACGCCAAGTAAACTGTTAGAGTCAAGTTACATTTTTTTTGTTTGGGCATATTTAGACTGGATTAGTTTGAAAACTTGGTTCAAAGTTTATCACCTAGTAGCCAATCACGTAATTTTCTGAAATCGAAATGTCTATACAGGGTTATGAGTCAAAATCATGTCAAACGAAATACAAAGTTTTGTTTTTGTTTTGTTTAATAGTAGAAAAACTTAAGATTAAGGGTCAAAACTGGTCTTAGGAATGTTGTTTGAATCATATTGTTGTTTGAGCCTATTATTTTTATCGTACTTTAAATTTAGACTTACAAGATGAAGCCGGAATTCACCGAAGAGGAGGAATTATGGCTGTTAGAGGAGATGCTGAACAAGCCACTTCACATCGTCCTCAACCACCTGCCAGAAGCCGCCAAGCCTTCGAGCCCCAGCCAAAATGCTATCCACGAGCCTTACGATCCGGCCAACCCGGGTTTTGTGAGACCAAATCGGCACCCAGCCGAGCCGACCACCCCTGGGACCATAGCAGTCGAAACACAGCCGAAAAGGGTCAGCCAGGGGCTATTTGAGCGCAAAAGGTCCAAGACACTGATCAGGCCAGTCACGGCCAGCTTGTTGAAACTGACCAGAACCAGCTTGTTGAAACTGACCAGGGTGAACCAATTGTGGAACGTACCGAACCAGTCACTGTACTGGCTGAACCCGATGTCCAACCAGTTGTCGTTCCTGATGATCCAGTCATGCCTGCTGTCGAAGCTGGTGTGCCGATGGAAGTCGATGAAGTTGTGATACCTACCACTGAGGATCCTGCTGTTCTTGTTGAACCGGTTGCTGAAACCGCCGTTGAACCAATGAAACCTACCGACGCTGTTGTATCTGCTGCTGATCCTGGAAAGAAAAGGGAAAGTGTTAACCGTCCGGGCCCACGTCAACGACGCAGTCCCCAACGGGAAAGTCTGAGAAGCCGGGAATCCATTGTTGTCCCGAATAAAATTCAACCGCAGGAGCCGCAAGAGGGAAGCAAACGAACTCCAATACGGGCTCCACCAGCTACAGCGAGGATTGAGCCAGAAGTCAGCTGGGTGTTGCCAGAGCTCCCAGGACTGGAGGACTATCCAGAGACCTTTGCAGACAAGCCTGGAGACCTGTTCCCCAGCCCACAGAAGACCAAGACCCCAATGCAGAAACTGAAGGAGTCTATGGTCTCCTTGGAGAATATGCAGAGCCGACCCTTCCTGCCAGGAAGGAGAACCAAGCGCACTTTGACCGCCTACGACAAACACGGGCGCATCTGGAAAATCACGCAGACGAGGAACCAGCATAAACCGACTCTAATATTGACCGAGGAGCGGTTAGAAGATCGGTTGGGTAGATTCACCTAAAGAAAAGTGGCAAACTAGTTCACCACTTTTCTTTCCAAGGAAAGAGGGGTATGACCCAGATTTTGGGACAGAGATAACTGAGGAGTAGGGCTAGAAGATGGGACAAGAAGGGGAGAGATAGCGGCTACCGACGCGTCGGTCCGATTTTTCTGTTATATTTAAATTGATTTAATTCTGTTCATTTGTTTAAAACAATGCGTTTAGTATAATTATTAATTACTATTATTGTTGTGAGTATTATTTAGTCTAAGAGTATTAATGAAACTATGTATATATTTCGTTCAATTTTCAATTATGACCAAGATCTTACTACCTAGGTTTATTAATTATTTAAGTATTATTAGAAACGATTATTTTGTTTAAATTTTCTTTCTTTTCAAATTAAAAGTATACAGTATTTTGTTTATATTATATATTATGATTATTATTAATAATTTCTGTAAGTTAAAATAATTTTAAAGAAAGAAAATGTTTATTGTGGTATTTAGTTAGTTAATAATATTATATTATTGTTACCAAAGGCTTGATTAAATTTAATCAAAGTGGGAGAAATTATTTTATAGCCGAGAAAGTTTAGCAAGCAAAAGAAAATCATTGTAAAAGAATTTAAAAGACTGGGAAATTATTCTAAGTCCCAAGCCGATTTAGTATGGGAAAGCGGCGAATAGATATAAAATGAAAGAAATGACAATTATTATAATTTAGGTAAGCGAAAATTATTCTGTCCCAAGCCGATTTAGTGTGGGAAAGCGGCGAATGGATATAAAATGAAAGAAATGACAATTATTATAATTTAGGTAAGCGAAAATTATTCTAAGTCCCAAGCAAGTTTTAGTATGGGAACTCGACGAATGGATAGAGAATGAAAGACATAACGATTAAAATAATAAAGAATTGTGAATTTGATGAGACGAATGGATATAAAATGAAAGAAATGACGATTATTATTTTAAAGAAATTGTTTTAAGAATTAAAAACTGTGAATTTGACGAACCGAATGGATAGAGAATGAAGGAATTGCCAATTAAATTGATAGTTTGTAATCACCGTATAGATGGCAAAAACGATCATTCCGGTCCGTTGTAAGTGGGTTTTTGGGAAAATGATAAAGTCCAAAATTTTATCACGGAAAAGCATGTCTTGTGACAGAGTGTTATTGTGGTGAATATTCTTCCATCAATAACAACTGGAGGGACATTACCTTGGTTCGTCTTGAACATTGGTAAGTACCTTTTGAACTCTTAGCAAGATTTGACTTCCCTGGATTTTTGACGTTCCGTCAAAACTCCAGTAGGTGATCATACGCCGTGTAGGTGTACTACAGCCAGCTGGTAGGTGGGGGTGAAGAGGACATTCTCCATTCGCTCTCGGGGTAGAGGTTTAGGCCCAGGGGTGACGGCTAGTCTCCTGGGGAAACGGGGAACCAGCTTTTGGAAGTTAGTTCGCGGTTTTGGACGCTCACCACGAGTGAGAGTGTGTGTGTGAGGATTTTTATTTTGTAAAGACCAGTTTTGAATCGGATCTTTGTTACCGACGGAAGGTACGCGTGCGTTTACCGACGAAAGATTATTGTTTTGAAATCGTTTCTTTATAAATTTGTTTTGATTTAGTTTTTAGGGTTTTGATATAACCTAAAATTGTATCACGTGTGTTTTTGTAATCTTTTTTTGATTTATTTAATTGATTTTGATAAATAAATTATTTATTATATCTTTATCATAACCTGTTTGACTTTTCGAGTTTATTTCTTTAGATTTAGTTATCTATTATGCTATTTACTTTTAATTGAGTTTGTTTTGGCTTTTTATTTTCGGTTTTGTTATATTTTGTAATCCCCGTTTATGACCCTGGACTTCGGCGAGCTTCAGATTCGAGCAACGGGGGCGTTTGTGTCACAGTATCATTCATTAGTGTTTTGTTATTTAAAAACACTCAAAAATTACCCGTTACATGTTTTATTTGCGGTGTACAAACTTTTTTGACAATTTCTTGTACAGATAACGTTTCTGTAGATTTTCGCTTCAATTCATTGATTATGTTTAATTTATCAGCGCGTCTCGGACGGGGATGATTGTGATTTTTTTCATTTACTGTCCACTTACCAGCAACATCTTGTTCTAAAATAACTGGACATTTTTTAGTAGAGAACCTTTGACAACAATAGTAACGCTCCACCGGTGACCGACACTTTACATAATCCCAAATTCCATATTGGTAAATTTTAGAATTGGGCTTAGACCCGTTTATCCACAGATTTGGTAGAATCTGGCGCCAAGTTCCGTTCAAATCCGTTGTCAACGGAGCGCCAGACTACCGACTGTGTTTACTGTAAGCAGAACGGTATTTTGAGGTTGCAAAATTTTATTTAATTCTACGGTACTTTTTTTCCCTAAATTGTATATTATAACAGTAATTCATACTTTATTTTACTGTTATTAATTAATTATATTCACTTATAACAATTAATCTACTTGAAATTACTAAATTTAATCAGCACAAACTATAGCAACGCAAAAATTTCGATACTGACTTTTTTTCGACGGGCAAAGTGATCTGCCACAGACTAAATAATTCGAGAATGCATAGTAATCCTTCATTGTGTAGGAAACTACAGTTAAAAAAAGATATTTCACAGCTTGCATCTACACCCGCCAGGGTGCGCTGAAATTATTTTTACATAAACTGTAGCTTCAAAGGGATAGTTTGCTATAAAAAATGCAGCCAACGCGAGATTTAAATTGGTACCAATTGTAAATTTTTATTAAAATTACAAAAAATACTAAAATCCGAACAAAAACAGTTTCACTGTAAAAAAATCGCGCCAAGTCCACGTTCATAAGACTATTAAGAAAAAAAAATTAGTTTTTTTCTTTACAAAAAGATATAAAATAAAAAATTAAAAAATCCAAGTAACCGATATGATTGTTTATGATTTTCGGAAATTAAAAAAAATTTTGTTGTAAATTTAAAAATTAAAAAAACAATTTTGGAACGTACTTGGTGTGCGTCATATTGTGTATTTCAATTTTTTTAAAGTCCTAGTAAATAGATTTTACGAATTTAGTTAAAAGTAAAATATTTTGCAACCGCGCACACTAAATACGTTCCAAAATTGTTTTTTTAATTTAATAAAAATTGAATTCCTTCGACTTTTAAGTTAATTAGGTCCTTGAGGATATCTTCAGGAATGTAGTTACCCTCAAATCTTCTTAAAAAGAATACTTGCTCTTTCTCCTCTTTGAGGGTGTTTGTATAGAAATCTACTTTTTCTGCACTGATTTCATCGGTTGATGGATTGGCACTAATCACTTTGGGAGAAGCCTCCTGCGTTAATGACTTGTTTGTCATTGACCGGCTGACTTCTCCTTGATATAAATTAGGTTAATTAACTATATAACTTCACTGATATAACTGGTAATTTTATTTAAATTGAAAATGAATAATACTGAGTATTTGACCATTTCGGAATTGTGACAAATTACTAGGTATAGGCCCTATTGTGTAGGAGGGACACTTCCCTACCATTTGAGCTATCCGGTCTATACTAAATTTCCTTTCACTTATTCTATATACATTAAGCCACACCGTCCATCTTACGGCTAGCATTTTTAACAAATATAAATAATGCTGTGAAGCGGGAAAGAATAGGAGTTACGGATAATTATTACGTGAAGCTATAAATATAGTCAAAGCTTGCTATAGCTGTCAGGAAATGCTTTCTATGGTTTATCAGATGTTCTCCCACTGATTTTTTCAGAAAGCGAATCACAATTCGAGTTTTTGACGCGCTATTTAAATTTTACTTTAGTCTCCTCCTTTTTCGGTCTGCTCTTCTATTCGATAAATATCCTCTCCACCCATATTTCTTTCAACATAGATATTAGAGAAGGAAAGATGTATTGAAGTACGAGATAATCACATCAGTGGACTTGAAACTACAAAGGAAAAGAAAAACTTAGTACCCGCTTCTTTAATAATGATCGTTTGCATATTCATTTAATTTTATAATCATTAAAATTAAATTTTGTAAACCTACACATCTCTATTAGGGACGGATTTGTACTATACGGTAAACTTTAAAAATCTGCGCACGCATGTATATTATCCTTGAAAAAGAGTTGTAACTCTAAAGAAAAAGAAATGTAATATAATGTCGTTTTGAATTGTTCGATATAATAGAAAATATGAGATTATAATCATGTATGCTCGTTACATTATATAACGTTAGTAATTATTTCCGAGTAATGATTTTTAATTTATTTTAAACTTTCTAAAATCCATGTAAGTTGTTTTCAACGGCTTTCTGTAGAATAGATTTCTTCACGTTTTTTTTTTTTTTTTTTTAATATTGCTAGAATCAGTAGAGATTCTCGCTTTATAATTTAACGAGGCCACGCAGTTGGAATCGATATAATATGGTTATACAACTTATTGTAAAGAAAGTATTTGACAGAAAAGTAATTTATTTTAATAACTTTTCATACAGATTTAACAAATTCATTAGTTTAGACTAACTTAAAATAATCAACCAGTTTTTTACTTTCAACAACTTGAAAATTTATTACCGAAATTTATTAATTCATTTCAATTTCATCTTTGATATAAATGCTCTATTCTTTTCATTAGCATAATATTATAATGAATATGATATTTATAATTCAATAGTCGGAAAATCAGGAGGGAAAAAAAAACGAAGAAAACCGAAGAACTCGCGAAGATGGAAAGAGCCGAAGAAGAGCGGAATGAAGATATGGGTAACAATTTTAATTTTTTTAGCAATTCGAACCACGATACTGCTGAAGACAGTTCACATGAAGCTCCATGCAAAAAAATAAAATTACTCCAATGTGAACTAAATACTGAAGATGGATCTAGTCATCCTGATTTATCTGATTCTTTTGAAGACAAAGGCAATGCACGTAATGACTCAGAAAAACATTGTAGTATCGATTTTATTAACACAAAAATACCGTGCACAAAGAAACAGCTAGAAATGGTTACTCTTTATGAACCTATTTCTGACAAGCCTGATAATACCGAGGGTATAAATTGCAAAACTGATTCAGAAAATGTTAAAAATCAATTAGAAAATGATTCTATCACTGGAGTTGATAATATTGAACCTTCTGGAGAAGGTAAAACTTATGTAAACTCAATTAATGATTCAACTCCAACAGTTCCAGAAATGAATAACCTTAAAAAAGAAAACAATGAACATCTTGATCAGGAAAATAAAAATGAGCCATACTTCAAAGAACACGTAATAACCAGACGCATTCATGATTTTGATTGGATAATGCATGAATTACATGAAGCATTTGATAATAATCATACTGGATCTTGTAAGGGTCTTTTTCGTGATCTAATACTGTTACGTTCCACTGATCAAGGATTATTGACTCAAATGTATTGGCAATGCAAAAATTGTTTTAAGCATGCAAGTATTTGGTCTGAGTCAAAGAAATCGACAAATTCAATGTCATTAAATGAAAGTGCTGTTTTAGGATCATTGATAAGTGGTATAGGCTATACAAACTTGAAAGAACAGCTAGCAACTATGAATATACATTTCATGACAGATAAGACTTACCGGAAGTATCGTCAGAAGATTGAAAGTTCTATTAGGGGAACATCAGAGAAAGAAATGGCTGAAGCAGTAGAAATGGAAAGAGAATTAGCAATTAAAGAGGGTGATTTTATTATTCACGATGGTACTCAAATTCCGTACATAACAGTAATTGTTGATGGCGCCTGGTCTAAACGTTCATACAAAAATGGAAGGTATGATGCTTTGTCGGGTTTCGCAACTATTATTGGCTTACGTACTGGAAGAGTACTGTACTGTGGAATGAGAAATAAATATTGTTCATTTTGTGCTTCATCTTTAAAACGAGGCCTGGAAAAACCACCTGATCATTTATGTTTCAAAAATTACGCTCGTAATGATCCATCGACAAGAATGGAAGCTGATATAATAGTAGAGGGCTTCACAAAAAGTATTAACTCGCACGGATTGATTTATAAAAGTTTCATTGGAGATGGCGATAGTAGTGTTCATCAATCTATCGTTAACAATGACCCTTACAAAGAATATGGTATTGGAGTTGAGAAGATTGAATGTAAAAATCATTTGTTCCGTAACTTCTGTAGGCACATTGTTAATGCATCAGAAATAAAGATTCCAGCATCAACAGTGATGAATGTTATGACATTGCGAAAGTATGTTAAAGAAAGCGCGGTAAAAATGCGTAAATATGTAGAAAATAATGTTGAAAAGATTAAGAAAAGTAATTGCGACCGAGATGAACAAATAAACAAACTGAGCGATATTTTAACGAATATGCCGAAACATTTTTTTGGTGACCATAGCCAGTGTTCAAATAAAACCGATAATGACTGTGAAGGCATAAAAGAAAACATTATCGCAAGTTTAAAACTTGTTGGAATTTTTCCAATTATTATTCAAATTGTTTCAAGGTTATCCAAGCATGCGGATAGCCTGTTAGATAATCTCACAACGAACAAAGTTGAAGGGCTTAATTCTATAGCTAATAAAACTTTGGGAGGAAGACGAATTAATTACAGCCAATGCGACTCGTTTAATTCCAGAGTAGCTATTGCTGTTATTCAATCAGATACTCAGGAAGTTGGAACAAAAATTCATCAACACATGGGCTTGAAAGTTCCTTCCGAATTAACAAAGTTGGAAAAAAGTAAGAAGGCTCAGGCACTGCGAACTGAAAAATCCAGGAAACTAAAGGGCAGGTCTCATCGACGATTTTACGGCGCTGACAAATCATACGGAAAAGTAAAAGACGATGACATGCCTTTAAACGAATACAACCGAAAAGAAGAAAGTGGCATCAATATCGGCGAGATATCATAACTGCATCGAATTTTGGGTCGATATGTTGTCGCAGAGCTGCTACTTCATGTTCATCGTTGGTACAAAGAATTGTCTATCCACCAGTATTGAATAGTGTTGGCGCAATTCTGTTTGGCCGTGATTTTGAAAAACGAGCATTAAATGATTTGGCAAAGGAACTTGGAATTGAACCACAAGAAATAAAACCCTGTGGGCTTTTTATCGACAAACATATTGAATATTTAGGTGCAACACCAGATGGTCTCATTGGTGACGATTTTATAGTTGAAGTTAAATGTCTAGAATCAATAAAACATCTGTCACCAGATGACGCCCTTGGATTAGGAAAGAAAGCAATAACGGCTATTTTTTATTCAAAAACTGGGTGTTTAAAAAACAGACACAATTATTATTATCAAGTGCAAGGGCAGGGGCATATCACCGATAGAAAAAAATGCAGTATTTATTATTTATTTTGCAGTATGGACTCCAAAAGGCTTAAAATATGAGATAATTGAAAGAGATAATAACTTTTGGCAAACAAAAATGGAATCCGAACTAACTAAGTTTTATAAAGAATGTGTGCTTCCGGAAATAATAGATAGTCGAAAAAATCGCAACATGAAAATTCGCGAACCAAGCTACATTCTTGAAGCTCAGATAAAAGCACAACAGAAAAAAGAAATGAAAACGAAAAATTCAACAGTAGAAGAAGTTGAAGAAGTAGAAGAAGTAGAAGAAGTTGACGACGACAGTTTGGATGCATCTTCTGCATTAATTAAACAATTATTGTTCGATATAGCTGAGAGTGAAGATATTGGAGTTATTGAAAATATTTGGCAGGTACAAAGTCAACTTATTTCTAGAATTTGCAATCACATTGAAGATTCCATAACAAAAAATGCAACCGATGTCATCAAATATCCCGTGAATATTGATAAATATACATTAGAAACTTCCGAATTATCTGCTAACGATGCCAAAATAAATCGTGCAATTACTAAAAAAAATTGCAGTTAAAAGTCTATGTGAATTATTGAAATCATCAATATTGGTTTTGTATTAATTTTTAAAAACAACATTCATAATACTTACAGCTATTGCAAGTTAAATTAATTGCCATTAGTGGTGGTAAGAGGGCGGAGGTGGGCATTTTCATAATCATAATTTTTTGTATTTTTGTTCATAAGTGAACGAACATTGAAAAAATTAAGTCCGCATCGCGACTTGACAAAGAAGAGTTTCTTCATAACTCGGAAAAATAGTATGCTTTGCGACTGAAACAATTGTCTGCTTCGCGACTTCATAACAAAAATAGTCTGCTTTGCGACTAAAAAATAGTATGCTTTGCGACTGAAACAATTGTCTGCTTTGCGACTTCATAACAAAAATAGTCTGCTTTGCGACTGAAACAATTGTCTGCTTCGCGACTTAATAACAAAAATAGTCTGCTTTGCGACTGAAACAATGACAAATATACAGTTTACTCATATAGAACACTTAATACTAATATTTACTATTTTTTAGGAAATTATATTATCACATATGTATCGACAATTCCGCGAGTGTTTGAATATTCAAAGATGGACGAGAATCTGATGATGGAGAAGTTGATTGCTACTGTATAAAAGCAGTAAACTGATTTATAAAATCTGCGGTAAGTTGATGTTTTTGTTAATAAAGTTGAATATACATTTTAATAAATTATTTTTTTACAGATGCGAAGACAGGAAACGAAAATTCAACGATGAAGAAAGTTATAGATAAGATTGAGACTAAAAACACAAATGTAAAAAAAAGCACACTTATGAGTATATCTCCCTTTTGTAAATCCGTGATTTCTCATAAAAAGTATTAGAAGAAAGAAAAAGTGACATTTTAATTTATATTTACATTATGCTAGGGGTAAAAGGATTTTAAGCCAATAACTACATATAGTTGGTTTTGTTAAATCGCAATATGATAAAATCATAATTGTATTAAATGGTTTGAATTTTTTATGCAAAGGCGAAAATTGGTTGTGTAAAAATATTTTTACGATAAAAATTGTAGGAATTTTAATTTTCAAAATACGTTTCTCGTGATTATTCTACTGAGCTAATAGAAAAATTGTATTTTCAAATATAGTATTCACAATAATTGTCTTAAATTTGAAACATTTATTATGAACTGTAATTATTAAATTATGGCGAAAATATTAGTCCAATAAAAAATTTTTATGCACGAAAATTTTTAAAAATGTCATTCTCTCAAAAAAGTATTGCTTATAATTTTTTGATTGACCGATACTTTTTGTGGTGATACTTTAGTGTTAATTTCAAAATTAACATTAATAATTATGAAAAATTTAAACCACTCATTAATACAAATTTTAACGTAGAAATGATGGCGTTATTCCTATTGATCCTATTATAAAATTATTTAAATTAGACATTAAAAATGTGTTTCTCTTAAAAAAAAACGTACCTTATTAATTTTTCATAGCGCTGATATTTTCGTTATAATTATGAAAAAACTATTCTTAATTAATCAGTTCGAGTTTTTAGGAATCCGATAAATCTTACTTTTTAAATGTCAGTGAAAATATTATTCGTAAAAATTTATTTTTACGATTATCATGATTTATCATTATCTGCAAAAAATGTTAATATGATTTTTCACGACCAATAGAGTGTTTCAAATTTAGCAATTACGATTAATACAGAATATGATTCAAAATTGTGATTATTATGAGTCGCAATTTTGGAAATTACGGCGAATATATTTATTCTATCGAAAAATAATTAAAAACATTTATTGTTGACAATTTAATGCTAATCAACTTTTATTTACTAAAGTTTTTCATTGGACCAATAGTATCACAGTAATTTTTAAATTCAGATTCCCAATTATTAACAATTTCATTTTTCAGTTTGAACTTCTATAAAAAAAATTGGTAGAAGTGGTTAAATTTTTTTAAAATTTTCATATTTTCAACATCTGAGGGAACAAATTTTTTTTATGGCTTATTTCTTAAGAAAAACAAATCTCGACTTGAACTTTTCACAAAATTTAAAAGATTAAAGAAATTTAATTTAGATATTTAAGAAAGAAACGAATTGTATAAAATGTAAATTTTGCGACGATAATGAAAAAAAATATATTTATGTACTTAAATTGAGAAAAATTGTAGAAACAACAAAATTGTACCAATAACTAGTGTAAAAATAAAATACCATTTGGTCTGTGTTGTGAATGTTGATAAATATTTAAAAATAATTTCAAGTTAGAAATAATTTTGGTATTATTCGTAAAGAAAAAAAAATTTTAAGTAATATTCGATACTTATTAAATTTTTATGACGTAATTTATTTAGTTCTATTTGGATTAACTACACATGGGTTTTTAATTTTACAGCGTCATTAAAGTCAAGTAAGTATTCACTTAATTTACTGAAAATATTATTTAATGTCGTTAAAATATTATTTTAACAAAAAAAAAAAAAGAAAATCAATGGAGACAATTGTAGTTGAAAAAATCGCTTGATTTTTGTAATGCCAGTGTAGAGTACATCAACATTTTTAAAAAGACATTAACACTAGGTTTTGTAGGAAATTAAACGAAAAAAATTTTTTTTCATTAAAATTTTGAAAACTATTTTATTTAAAAAAATAAATGTATGCCATTAATATATTTCAACAACTTACATATTGTAAATAATTAGAAGCTACTTAGAAAATCTCAAAATTTTATCAATATAAGACTGTCTTTCGCATTCAATAGTGTCTTCCTTGCTATCAGGAAGGGATTCACCGCTACTTCGATGAAACATATAATTATATCTACAATTTTTCATATCCACATAGAAGTATAAAAGTTCCTTCGCGCATTTTATTTTTATTTTATCAAAATAATATAAGTATATTAAATGAAGTAAGGAAGGAACAATTAATTTTCTGATTTTTTACGATTTAAATTTCGTGCGGAAATTCTAACCAATTGTTATGCTTTTAGTGAAAATAGTGACTTAAAAGTAAAGAGATGTTGTGGTCGGTATCACATTACTTCTCCAAGAACGCATGTCGTATTAAAAAGTTCACTGCAACCCGTGTACTGCGTCTTAACTTGCTGTGAAATTGCCATTTGTGAGATTCTTTGTACGTTCTTATTTAAAATAGTATTTTAATTTTTATGGATTATTATTTATTAATAATTCGTATTACAAGAATTAATTTTCTTAAATATAAAAGATTAATAGAATAATTATTTTTTTAAAGGTGCGATAGTTGTGGCTGATTTTTTAGCTATCCGCCATTTTTATTTGATTAAAAGGTTTCACTCAGGGGTTATTGTAAGTGTTTTAATCTTTTATCGTGTAAGTATAAATTAAAGTTAATATTCTATATTATTATATACGTAAGTGACACTGAAGTTGACGGACATTAAAAATTATTTTAGAATTTTATAATAATTAAATTATTATAAAAAAAATTAATTAAAAAATTCTACGTGTGAAAATTAATAATAATTACAAGTGAAAATTTTTAAAAGCATTTTTTTATTGTAATAAATTTGTTATTGAAATTTTTAAAATTAACAGGTGACGGCTAACTTCAGTATTATATACGTAAATCGATTTTGAACCTTTCTGTTATTTATGAAACTCATTGAACTAATATAATAAATATTTTTTTCTGTTACAGTAACTATGGAGGACGAAGCACGGAGTAAGATTTTGTTCATGAAACTAATAAACATATCACAATTTTTTTTATAAAGTATAAAAATATATTTTTTTTTTTGCAGAGCAAGAATTACTCAAGCGCCGGGAAGATATTGAAGCGGCCCTTAAGTCCTACAACGAATTTATCTTGGACAGCAAAGCAGAAGATGTTCAACCATTAACGGTACAACCAGCAGCACAAACACAAAAAAAATACAACGCTCGGGTCTGATGGCGTTAACAACAGAACATCAACCTCGGCGATAGTAAAGCAAGGTCCTGGAAATGGACAAGGAAACGACGGAGAGAACGACGTAAATGATGGGTCAGCTGAAAGATCAACTCCTTTAGCTGATGGATCAGAGTCAGCAACCATCAATGGAACAAAATCTGAAGGTAGATACAAAGACAAAAAATTTGTAACTTTTAAAATAATTTTTTTAATTTATCAGAATTCATTATCGATTTTTTAATTTTTTAGTTAAGCTTCCAAAACGACATGAAGCTGCCGGGAGAGCGCGAGCCAACTGGCGCCGTCGATACCGAGGAAAGGGTGGAAAAAACAATTTTGTAAACCTGTATCTGTAAGATTATGATTCACCATAAATATAAGAAAAATAATTAAAAGCAAATTGTATATTTTATTACTTATCCTCACTACTTTCTTTTTTATCATAAATGAGTTCAATTAAAATAATTATAAAATGAGCTTTTGAACCGTTATATTTTTTATTGAATTACGTAAATAAAAATTTTTATTGAGTAAAGTCCTTACAATAAAGAAACTAAATATTTATTAATAATTTATTTTTAAATATTGAAGATTTCAAATATATATTAATAGCATCTGATACGCATGAGGCCCTCTATAAAACACAACAGAATGTATAAATAAAAGTCACATCAACATTAAACTCCAACTGTAAAAAAGAGGGGATAATAACCTAAAACTTGTTAGTATTGTAATTTTTTGTGCAAAAAATATAAAAAATAAAGGAGAGCATAATAAAAAATGACAGAATCCAATAATCCGTATCAAAAACCTTATAAACGAAGTAAGCAAAGAGGCCAGAAAGTTATATTTAGAATATAGTTATGGCAAGAAAATAAAATTTGCAGTAGTTCCTTACAATTTTTCTTGTGACTATTTATTTCCAACAATTGAACTTTTTTATTTAAAATATTTTGATGTTTATTTATGCACTGTGGACTTATCAGGATTATACTTTGAAAAACTTTCTTCAAAATTAAAAAAAAAAAAATGCCAAATTCAATAAACTAGAAAAAGTGCAAGTGATATCGATAATGTCAAAGAAAATTAGTTTATTCCACTTTTGATTTTTTAGCTTTCTTCAATAGATAAATAAATTATTTTTAAAAAAACTGATATAAAGAAAATAAAAAACAAATTCCTAATTTTAGAAAATTTTCAATTTTTTCAGCGGGAAGTTAAAAATATTAATACAATTAATTTAATTTAAGTCATTTTTTAGTATTATTAT